GGCAGAGGAATGGGAAAAAACAAGTTGCATCATGTACAGGTATAAATTCTCTATGATGAATGAGCCCATCATGTGTATCTAAAATATACCAATAAAATCTGATTGAAAGAAAAATATTTCCAATATTTCCACATAGAAAAGTGATTATTCTTCTAACAAACAGAAAGTAAACAAGCATGACTAATATATTATAAAAAACATAGTCCCTTGAAAGGTGCCCAGTGTAACCCAATTCTGTGGTTGGTCATTCATCAGATCTTGCACGGGTGTCAGGTGGCCTGTGGCATACACCAGGCTGCAACAGCAACATCACTGACCAGGCTGGGGTCACAGTTCAATGAGAAAGCACTTGTCTCCTGTGCCTAGGGCCCCGGCTCTCAGAAAGATAGTCACTACCTCATTTTGATTAGCCTATGAATATATTACCCATCAAAACCCACCCCATTTCCCTCTTACCAAATTTGTTCCACTTCAATTCTACTTAAGCACTCAAGCTAAAAGCTTAGGAACCACACTTGATTCTTGATTCCTTCCCCAACCCCACCTAACACACCCCAGCACAGCCCAAAAGTATCACAGGTCGCCTCCTTAAATTATCTCTTGAATCCATTCATCATCTCTGCTGTCATTACTTCATCCAAACTCTCCCCCCTAGCTGAGGTAACAGCTCCTAATCAATCCCCCTGGTTCTACTCTCACAGCAAGAGCAATTTAAAAGTGAATAATAAGTCAGTTCATGTCTCTCCCCATGTACCTATTTTCTATTTGCTTCTGTAACAAATTACTACAAACTCAGCAGCTTAAGCCAACATGACTTCTCCTGCTACAGTTGTGTCAGACTGAAGTCCACATGAGCCTCACTGGACTAACACAGGCTTTCGGCAGAAGTGCGTTCCTTGTAGCCTATGTCATCCCTAAGGGAGAATCTATTTCTTGCTTCTTCCAATGTCTACGAGCAGAGTACACACAAATGCTTGGGCCCCTCCCTCCACCTTTCAATGCAGCAGTGCTGCGCCTGCTCCTCTGCTCATGTCACCTTTCCTCCCTCTCTGACTTTTATTTTTTATACTTCATTTTCTGCTACCATGGATGGAAACCAGGGCATTTACACTGAGCTGTACCACCAGCCCTTTTCTCAATTTTTTTTATTTTGAGACAGGGTCTTGCTAAATTGCCTCGGTAGGATTAGAATCTATAACATCCTGAGATTACAGTGTTGAGATTACTGGCATGCATCACCATGCCCAGCTCCTTTCCTGCTTTGAAGGAAGTAATGAAAGGTGATCCGATCTGTAAGACGAAGCCACCACAGCAAAGAGCTTTCTGGGCTGAGGCAAAGATCCGCAGGTGGATTGTGACCAGTTTGTGGTTACACTGGGCCCACCTGGATAATTCAGAACTATTTACCTATTTCAGCCCAGCTGCTTAGCAACCTTAATTTCATCTACTACCATAATTTCCTATGACTGTATAATTCAACCTCTTCACAGGTTCCAGGGATTGAACCTGGGCATCTCTCAGAGGGCAGAGGGCACACTATTCTGTCCGTGCACACCCTGCTTAAACTTTCTGAGTAGCTTTTCCCTACACCGAGCTCAATTCTACCTCCTCCCTGCAGTCCACAGTGTTGACAGGATGTGGCTTTCCCACCAGACCTCACTTCTCTGAGCTCTTCTGATACCAATGACACCTCCTTCAGGGATGCTGCAGCATCTTGTGCTCCCTAGTCTCCCTGAGACTCATTCCTGCTACTATCCTAGCTGACAAGGTCACCCACCGGGCAGCACCTCTTGAGACATTGCCAGTCTGTCTCCCCCTCCTGCCTGTGTCTCCAATCTCTGTCACGTCACCCTAGTTGGCTCTCATCACGGTGCTTGTCACCACCTGGCGTCATCTGAGTGACTGACTCACTTACTCAAGTGTTCATGCCTGCTCCCTCCTCTGGTGTGAGCTTTATGAGGCAGGGAACTTCCCTGTCTCTCCTCTATGTCCAAAGCTGAGAATGTACCCTGGTTTCTGTCCAGTGCTCAGTGTACTTTCGGGGATGGTGCTGGAGATTGAACCTGACACCCCCCATTCTTACTGAATCCCTTCTCCTCAACACAGTCTGAGGTTAACAGAAAGTGGCCTCCGATCAGGCCTGCCTGGGGCAGTCCACCGCCAATGATGGGACTGTATTCCTCTTTTATAGCTGAATAATATTCCATTGTATGTATGTACCACATTTTCTTTTGTAGTAAACATATTTGTAATCTCATTTTCTTTTAAAGTAGATATAATTTGTTTAATGTGGGGAGAGGTCGCCCATGACTAGCACTGATCCAATCACTCAACTAGGCACTGGCCATCAAACTTTTCAAATAAGTAATAGTCTCAGAGCAAAGCTTTAAATATAATATGAAGCAATAAAGCATATTAGTCATGGAAGGTAAATCCATTACAATGATATCAAAAATGTATGTCAAAAAACTAACCTCATTTTGGTTTAGTATTTTCCGGTATTCTGTGCTCCGGGCAAGAATGGTGACTCGAATTTTTCCATCCTGTAATCAAAATGAAAAGCCAAAATAATGCTGAATATATCTGAACTAATAAATGAACATCTGAACTTCAAAAGTGATTTTCAGAAAGAGATGAAAGTCAGTAAGATTATACTTATAGAATGACTAATTTTTAGCTAACTCCCTCACCATTCCACCTTAAAAGATCACAGATTATATCCACTTTAAAAGCAAATGGAATATTACTCAGATATGAAAGAAAAATAAAACCCCATCATTTGTGGTAGATTGGCCAAGCCAGGCCTGGCCAAAAGGCCACATTCTGTTAACCTCATGAGCAGGCAGAAGTTAGATCAGTGTGGCAGAGGAAATCCATGAGCAAAATTTGTATTTTGTTGAGTGGAGTCATACAGAAGGAGCAACATCATCTGTTCTAACTTCTTTGCAGAAATCAAAACATTGATCTCACAGAAGTAAATACTAACAGATGACAGTGGTTACCAGAGGGAAGGGAGACAGGGAGAAAAGAAGGCAGAAAAGGGTTACTAGGTTCAAGAATACAAATGCAGTTACAATAGAAGAATAAGTGCCTAGTGTCCTGTGGAACAGCAGGGAGTCATGGCTTGTGTCTAGATGTCCCTCCAAAGCTTCATGCAGACATAGGTGGGGCTTTTTCAGAGTGTGTGCTAGGATTAAGGATGTGTGATTACTAAAATAGTCCACCAGTTGATTAGGCACACATCCTAAGCCAGATAACCTAAATAGAATATAAGAAGTGCAGAAAGAAACTGCTCTTGTCACCACTGTTGCTTGCTTGCTTGCTCTGTGCTCCACCTGCCGTGAGCTGTCTCTCCTCTGTCAAATTCTCTGCCATTGTACCTTGCCTTGGAGCTAGCCAAGCAGGCACTGAAACCTCTTCAAACTATGAGCTAAATAAACGTTTCCTCCTTTAACTTTGAGTACTGGATATTTTGTCTCAGCAATGAGAACAGTAACTAAGAGAGTAGGGTGAGTATATTTAGCAATAATTTGTTGAATATTTGAAAACAGCTAGAAGAGAGGATTTTGAATGCTCCCAACAAACAGACATGATAAATGTCTAAGATGGTGGATGGGCTAAATACCTTGCTTTAATCATTACACATGATATCATGTGTCAACATATTAGATTCTAGAGCTTAAATAATTATTATGTATTGATTAAAAATAAAAATCAAGGTATTTACTTTAGCCATGAAAGACAAAGCCTATTCATTATGCTGCTACGTGGCTGTTGGGTGGTAGAGTAGACTTTTGGGCAGGGATTTTGTGGGTCGATGGGGATTTGGGAGAAGCAGAGAGACAAAGGCCAAAGAAATGAAAAAAGGAAAGAAGGAGTACAGACCACATTCTTATGATAGTTTCAGAAGTTGCTGATGCCTGAATTTAGGCAACTCCAGGTCAGAAAACACTGTATCCTGATTATTTCTTCTTCTGCCAGCATAGAATTAATTTTGATTAGGGATTAAAAAAAAAAACAACTCAAGCCCATCTTGGAACCCACAACGCATCCATTACCTTGGGTCCTGCCTGTGCGATGTTTAGTCTGTGCAGTATGTGCTGGGAGAAGGCCCTGAACAGCCCAGTATTTTGACAGCCAGATATCTAAAATGAAAATACCAGTTCATGTTACAAGGAAGCCTCCTGCCTTGCCATGTCAGACGCTCTCAAACTACATACAAAAGTCATCAGAAAGGGCTTACCAGAGGAGTATTATAGAATAGCCCATACCTCATGCGAGGCAGTAAGGAAAAGATCGCGTCTTTAAAACATACCTAAAAATGAAAATATTTTAAAAGACCAAAGAATATCATTTATGGCCTTCCCACCAAAAAAGCACTTATAATTTTGGAAAAGAAATTCTAATTAATCTCCATTTCTCATTAAAATAGTTTGACTAGCAAAGGACTTCAACAATAAAATCTATAGTTTTTGAAGAGTTGCAGAAAAATGTTTTCGAAAGCTGAATGGGCCAAAACAATGGGGATTGCAGTTATAACAAAAGAAACCATGAAGTCAGATGTCCATGGTAATAACTAATAGAAACTCAAATTGAACATTTGTTCTACGAATAATTCATCTGTATATGAGTTATTTACAACATTTCAGAAAAGCTTCTAGTACCCTCTTGGAGTCGTAAGTTTTCAAGTGTATAACCTCATAGTCAGTAAATGCTTTCCAAGTGTCGGAGAACAGGTCGCCATATCCGTAAGAGCTCTGCAGGTGGAAATAAGACGAGTTAGCACGAAAGGATAAACAAAAATCACTAAATTTGCCTGCTAGTGTTAAATTACATTATGAACCTAACTACAGTCAAAAAAACCTTATAGCCCAAATTGGTTTTCCTCTGTGTCCTGAACAAATGCCTAATTTGATTATTTATATCCAGAAATAATCACCACAATCATCTTCTTAATGTATTAGTACAGTTTCATTTTTCTACCCTAACCCATTCCATTCCAGGTCTTTGAAATTGCAGTTAAGGGGTTCTGTCATGAACTCTCACTCCACAGCACAGACACACACCGCACGCACTCACGCTGTCTTCTAGGCACACTCTGAAATGCTCGGGGAGCGAAACCATCAAGACAAACGGATTATCTTTGGAAAGGAATTTCAAAGCAAGAAAACAGTTTAAAAGGGTTAACATTAAAAATATAATGCATGCAACTATGAAATGTTCTTCCCAGTGGCCACTGAATCACATTTGACAAGTCCACCTTAGCATTAATGTTAATGGCATTATTATTTTTTTATGAGTAGAATATATTTACTGGGGGAAAGGAAGCTCCTGTCTGAGAGAGGGACAGGAGGGGGGCCCAAGTGGGTGGCCCCCCGTGAGCAGCATTATTATTATTTTTTTTTTTTTTGGAACCGGGGATTGAACTCAGGTCCTTGCACTTGCCAGGCAAGCGCTTATTCTACTGAGCCATCTCCCCAGCCTAGCAGCATTATTATAACAATAATATTACATAACAATAATAGCAGCACCTTGCACACTTTCTATGTCCCAGGCATCAAGCTAAGCACTTCATGCCATTAACTCATTAAGCCAACCCACAAAGCTAGGTAGGTAAGACGGTTGTCCTTATTTTATAGAACAAGAAACCGGGACACAAATTTAAGTAATATGACTAAATTGTAGGGCTGTGAATTACAGAACTAGATCAATCTGTGATTTCAGACTTCATTCTCACAAACTCCACATGAGAGTTGCCTGTATTTACCAAGTTCATTTTCCTTTTTTGAAAAGCAGGAGTTAATTATAAAGTTCCATCAGCTAAAGACAGATCAATTAATTTTCAAAAGGTATAACAGATTAAAATATTCACCCATGAAATATGCATTTCAGGGTTATATTCATAGTCTATAGTTGGTTATATTTATGTTTATTATGTTCAACTCTTTTTACCTTCATAGCCTTTTTTCATATTTTAAACATTTTCTGTTGCACACATTATAGTTCTTTCAAAGTTGGTGAGAATTATTAGATGCAGTGTTTTAAAAAAATTCCTCCTTTAGCACTTCTCCAATGCTATTCTAATAAAGGCATTTCTCAACACCATCTAACACGAAATGTCAGCGCTCAGGCTCAATAATAAATAAAGGGCAATTAAAAGTAGTTCTAGACAGTTTCTTAAGATAAAATACTTCAGATAAAATATGATCCCTTTGAAAGGAAATTTTAATAATAAAATAATCTGACTGATTCTTTTTGAGGGAAACCATGAACTATTCAGTAATAAGAACCTCTACAAACCTTATATTCCCCAATTCCAAGTATCTCCCAGAGGGGAAAAAGGAACTTTCTCCTACTCTCAAACTGAAGAATATCTGGCTATCCTAAAGATGACAGAAGGTTTCTTTCTCTGTAGGTCTCTAGTTTGAACATACATAGTACCTACAATTTAGAAACCCCGCTTACAGGAATCTGCCTGACAGAAATGCTTCAGTGAGAAGCATTTGAAGAAGGAACACGTGAAGATATGAACACGTTGGCTGTATCCATGTCCATACACAGCTGGTGTCTGTAGGTTCAACTACTATGAATTGAAAATATTCAGAAAGCATACTGGGTCTACACAAAGCATGTGGACACTTTTTTCTCATTATTATCCCTGAAAGAGCACAGTATAACAACTATTTGCACAGAATTTACATTGCACTGGGTGTCCAGCAAATATCTAGAGATGATTTAAAGTAAGTAGTAGAATTGCACAGGTTATAGGTAAATGCTATATATTTCATAGAAGGAACCTGAGTGTTTTGAATATTTTTGTATCCACAGGGAACTCCTCACAGATACTGAGGGATGACTATACATTTGCCAACTTTCAACAAACAGCACAGAATTAGAAATGAATGAAATAAGACTGAGATGGAAAAAGCATACACACGAAATCATGTGTGCCTCAGATTTCTGAAATAGCCATTATATGGAATACCATGTAACTGCTCATAAAAGGATAACCCTAAAGGAAGGTAGAACTCTTTTTAAAAAAGTGTTAAAGAGAATAGAAAACAGTAATAAAAAGAATTAGAAATGATACAGAATTTCACTAAACAAAATAAAATGAATTCAACAGCATTATTGTATTCTATAGGGATAACAGCATAATCAGTTGGAGATCTTTCCATGATATAATATTAAAAGAACAATATGAGAATATATTTTCTATAGAGATATAAATGTATCCTTACACAAATTTTATATCTATATACACAGGTCCTCATATAAATCTTCATATACATTTGAATAGATGTATTTATATTTTCTTGTATTTTCTTTTTGTGAGAGAAGGTCTCACTATGCGGTTCAGGCAGGCCTTGAGCTCACTTTTTAGCCCAGGCTGGTCTCGAACACATAATGATCCTCCTGCCTCAGCCTCCCCAGTGCTGGCATTGTAGGTGTTCCCTGCCATGCCCAGCTTTTTACATTTATTTATTATTATGAAAAGAATCTTGTCAAGAATCCACAGACATGCTAATTGCAGTTACTTCTAGAGGACAGTAGAATTGGAGAAGACTTTTTTTAAATAACATCTGTGTTATCTGAACTCATTACAAGCAGAAGTCACTTTCAGACTAAACAAAAACAAAACAAAAAATGAAACACCATAGTTACACTAGATAGGAAACTGAAGAAAGTTTGCAGGAATTGCCCCTTTATCCATTGCATTTACTAAGAGCCACCCTCTGTGCCCAGAAAGGCAAAGAAATGCCCTCTCTGCATTTCAGGAGGCTGGTGGCTTTGCCAGTGCTCAGCTGCTGTCTGTGTGCCTGAAAAGTGACCAAACCACTCAAGTTTGTGACAAGAGGAAAGACTCCAAAGGCTTCCAGGTGGGGACAGTCGGTGAACCCTACCCTTGGCCAAAATGCTCCCTCAAGCCTTCAAGGCTGACTGTGGGCCCACGCCATCAGCTGTGGGGCTGCACGTCACAGTATGCAGGTCACAGTGTTGCTTACCTTAGGACCTTGCAACAGAAGAGAAATGGTCAAAGCCTGGCATGACAGTCTATGCCTGTAATCCCAGCACTCTTGGCTGAGGCAGAAGAATCACAAGCTTGAGGCCAGCCTAGGAACTTAGCTCCATGCCCTCTCCAAATGTTGAAAAGGGTGGGGGGAGCTCAGTGTGAATGCCCTGGGTTCCACAGCCAGTGCTGAAGACAGGCAGGGAGAGAAACAATACTCCACTGCTCTACCCCAATAGGTACATCAAAGGGCAGGGTGTAGATGCTAGCTCAGTTTGCCTTAGTCCACTTGGGGAAGGTGCAGAAAAGTATACCACAAGGTACAAGAAAGTCTCTGGAAACCGTCTGTGAAAGATTTCTCGCCCTCATGGTTCTGTGGAGGGCTATATAGAAAGGTGGCAAAGCATTGCAGTTTCCCAGCCCAGAGCAGCAGCCCATGGCTCCATCCCTTGCACAGAGCATGATCTCAGAATGCTCACCAGTGGCTCAGGCCTCGGGCTCCAGTCTACAGAGCAAGTCAATAGAAAACCAAACAAATAAACCAAATCCTAGTCCAAAAACAGCCAACATAATCCCTAGTCCAGTGAGGCAGATGAGTATTACATTAAATAACATAGGGTATAATTTTGTAAGGGGCTTCTGAGAGCTGTTTAGATTGTGGCCTAGAAGCACATAAACAAAAAGAAAAAATAAGACTGTTTCCTTTGCTCACACATTTTTCAAACTATAGTATTAGCAAAACTGGAACTCAAGCCAGAAGTAGAAACAGATCTGAAGAAGGACACAGACGAAAGCACCAGCACTGCAAGAACTGCAGAAGCAACTGTCAGCAGAGCCTGCAGCACAGAAGGAGGGAGCTGAGGACACGACCTTCTGCACAGCTCTCCCAGCTCTCCCAGGAGACTGGTCATGGAGAAGGGGCCAGCAAGACTCCTTCCCCTCTCTGAGGAGGCCAGAGTCACTCATCCTCAGGAACATCATCCTGAACTGACTCTCACTGAGAGGAGGCACCCTGAATCAGAATGCACACTCTGTGGCTCTTCCTCAAGTTGACACTGAGGTGCGGCTCTGTTCTATTTATAGTCATCGAGGACACCAGGCCCCACCTGGGATTACCTTGCACAACTGGGAGGGCCAGGTGTAAAAGACAAGGGAAAAGCAGGTAAGAAAGAGAAGTGAGGGCCAGCCAAACAGCTCAGCAGATTAAAGTGCCTACAAGCAGGCACAGGGGCCAGGGATTTGATCCCCAGGCCTGCCGCGATGGCCCCACCCCCAGGGCACACTGAGACATGGATTGAGACTGGCATGGTAGTGCACGTCTATAATCCCAGCACTTGGGAGGCTGTAAACAGGAGGATCACTGAGTCCAATCTAATAGTGAGACCCTGTATATCTTGTAGACACTTCCCTAAAAAAATAAAATTTAAAAAAAGAGAGAGAAGTGAAAGAGTGCTAAAACAAATAAATGATAGGCATAATCTAACAAATGCACTTCTGTGTGTATCTAAGACTCACCTTAGTGGCCTGAAAGAGGCCTAAAACAAATGGTGATGAGAAAGCTACTATTACACATAGCAGGGGCCATGGAGCTCAGGGGCAGGGTTCCCACTGAGCAGGGATAGGCTTGCATTCCATCCCAAGTATGAGAGAGAGACAGCCAGGCAGGCAGGCAGGCAGGCAGGCAGGCAGATAGACAGATAGACACAGTACAGTGAGTTCAGGAGGTCCAAATAAACAGAAGATCTTCCAGTATTAGAGGTGAGTTGAGTAACAGGATCCTGTATCCAACCACAGAGGACCACTGAGATAAACAGTGCAGCTCTTGGGAACTCCATCTAACCAAAAGGGAAAGAAATCTTCCACTGCTTCATTCCAAAGTTCAAAATACCAGGGCGGACACATACACATGGGTATGCATCTGCCTCGGTGTCCATCTATCAGTGCATATGCAGACACATTCATGCCCACGTGCAGGTCTTGGGTGCATGTGTGTGCGTGGCCTGGTTAAATGTGTGTCTTGACAGTCATGTTACTCCATCACAGTCACACAAGGGCAGAGCAAGGTCAAGGCAGGCTGGGCAGAAGCTCACTCTTACTTACAGTGTCCCACATCACGATGTGCACATCCGTACTGAATGAGTTATTAACATGCTGCGCAATATAAAGGTTGATAAAATCACAGAAGTGGTGATACATGTTAACACCTAGGGTTGGGAAAAGAAATCTATGTTAATTAATCCCAAAGAACAAGTGATTAAGCAATTTTTCTTCCATCCCATCTATTTACAGTTCAGAGCTGTAAAAGACTCAAGTCAACAACTTCTGACATTGCCAGTCATGCAGATAACCCACTACTCTTATGGACTACTGGACTATATTGAATTACTTTGCCAAATTCATGTACCTACAATATATGAATGGCAATGGAATACCCTTCTCTGACAAAAGTAAACAAAAAAGGGGGATAAAAATGAAGGACCATTTTGTAGTGAAAAAGAAAAAAAATATATATATATATATAATAGTTGGCATAGACATACAGCTACTTTCTCTTAGTTCAATGAGAAGAAAGATTTGTACTAATAGCGTTTAGGCAAGATACCATGTCTGCATCTCGTACTATGAATAACTACTATGAAGACAACACTACGCAATGTATTAATTATTGTAACTCTCCTACTAACCTGTTTTGAAACTGTCTCATTGCTATTTTTTCTCAATAAAATTAATATAAAAAATATTTAACATTCAATGGACTTTCAGTTGAAGTAAATGAGAGAAAATAGTAATTTTTTCCTGAACATAATCTACATAGAGGTATAAACCATTTACAAATGGATTGGATTTAAAACTTTACTTTTTAAACTGATTATTTAGAAATCAGGAATGTATTTTCCCACATATACCAAATAACAAATTAAGTTACCAGGAAAAGCCACCTAGGTCTACATAACTCAAAATGGGGTAAAATGATAGATTCATGAAATTATTTACTACTTTTGATCACTTTTTAAAAATTCTATTAAGAAACACCATTCCCAGAAGTATTGTTGAGGTAAGCATGATGGCAACTCCAACATTCTGGTGGTTTTCATCCTTGTCTCTTTTGGCTCCATTTAATCATTGCCTGTAGTACTCTTCTTGGGAAAATTCTAACCAACTATCACTTAAAAGAGATGAATGTCTCACACTCAAATTGAGAAAGAATAAACGCAGTCAGAACTGTTTGGGATTCTGCCTCAGTCGTCCATGAACAGCTCTCCTAGACAAATTCATAAAGTCTCTAAGCACTGGGTTCCCTAGTGGAAATGGCGAACTGTCAGACCTGAGTGCCAGCTTTGTTGCAAAAAAAACCCCACAAGGATGCATCCTCAAGGGCTACCCAAAGTCTGGCACATGGGAGAAGGGCAGACAGAGTGGGCAGTGCTGAGGCTGCCTCCACTTGTAAATTCTAAGGCCAGTCATTAAAAAAACAACAACAACAAAAACAAAAACAAAAAAAACAGAAGTGACTCTTTGAAATAAATGTGCATTTTTAAGGAAGGAAAATGTTGAGTAGAAGAAAAACAGTGACTCCCAAAAGTGGAAACCATGAAACAGCCTGACTTGCTTCTCATAGTGAATGGTAATACTGTGTTCCAGAAAGAAAGGGTAAAAAACACTCAATTCTTTTCACCCTAGTTATCTTAGATGAATGTTTGGGAACCTAATTTTTTTCAGCCAGAAAAATCCTGGCAAAAAGCATATTGTCTGCTGAAGGAAAATCAAGTTCTATGAGAACGCATCCCCTTTCCCCCAGGTGAGCGAGAGAACATTAGCTCGCAGATAAAGTTTAGTGAGCTCCTAACATTTATTGGAGAATTCAGCAGGTACAAAAGAGTGTCTGATGCTCCGAGGACTTATAAAGGAAGGAGCAAACATAGGTTTCACCATGGAGAAACGTGCCCCTGGCAAGCTTTGTTCTGTAGAAATGCTCACCCTCCCAAGGTAACAGTTAATAAGAAAAGAAAAATTGGATGACAGCCTAAGTTAGAAGCAAAAAGCAGAGCTATGAATAAAGGAAAGAAAAGGCATACATCAACCTTCATCTATTATTCTCCTTCTACCTACTTTATTGCATCAGATCTGTATAAATTTAACAGCTCGCACATATTCACCTCTTTCATAGGCAGATCACTGTTTTCTTTGCCTCTTTAATTTGCATATTTTTAAGAAATGAGTCAGAACCTCGAACATAGCATTTTTATTTGCTCTATTTCAAAATTCTAAACTTGTCTGATTTCTGAATCCAATACTTTGCGATATAAGAATTATGACTACAAAAGGGAGAGCACATTAAAACTATGATCAGTAAATTATGGTACTTCACAAATATTCATGACAGAGGGCTCTCTATATTTCACTGTGGGCCCAGCTACTCATGAATTTTGATATGATGTAGCATGGCAATCTCTGCCTCTCCTAATGAGAGAGATAATATAGAATGATGTGCTTCTCCTCTCTAGGGCAACCAGTTCACAAAGTTTTTGAAAGTTACGCCGGCAAGCTGAGACGTGGCACCTGTAGGCATACATGGAAAATAATTCTAATTTGTTTCCGAAGACTGTACCACAGTGAAAATTCCTAAAGCATTTTACGTTCACTTTAGTCATGAAAATAATATTAAAAAGTCTGCTTGGAGAGGTTATAGACATTTCTTTCCCTCTCTACTATTTAAAAATAATTATACTGAAACAATTTAAATCAAATGACTAGAGAAACCAGAGGAGATAAATTTAGTGTAAAGATGGACGTTTTTTTTCTCATCTTCAGATTTTGATTCAATCATTTGATGTACATGAGATGGTTTCCTCTAGAATATCCAAAGTACGAAATAAAAGGAAATTCAAGTTAGCTCATCTACTTCCGAGAAGAACACAAGAAGTAAATCCACTGTGTCCCAGAACTTTTTTAAAATCCAGAGAAAATGTATGTATGTATATATTTATATACATATATAGTGTATAATATACATATAAAATTATATATATGCTCCTTATTAACAACTTATAGATAACAGAAAAATTAACTTACCTGCATCTAATTTCATGAAGTATGTTGGTTTTTCAATAACAATGTCACATTTAGCATCTTCTATTGGTCTGAAGTTGAGCTGAGTATAGCTCTGTAGCTCAGCAAACCTGGAATGATAAATTGGAACATAATTTCAAAATGAGTACTCTAACTTAGAATCTGTTCATTAGGTAAACTTTAATTCCACTATGTAAAAGCACTCCTACAGAGACACGTAGCCTCTCAAAATTACTGTCATTTATATAATTTCATATCACTTTAATATTAAGTTAAAGAAATTTTAAAAATCATCTCGTGCAAGGCAATTAAACTAGGAACCTACCACACAAAGAGGAAACTTATACTGGAGGTGGCTAAAAGATCTATCAGTGAAGTGGGAAGCTTTGGCAAGGTTTTCTGTAGCCTAATGAGGCACAAAGTGAACAATGTGCAGAGGAACTCTTGCTGCAGCCTCTCTGGAGTCTGGAAAGACGGCATTCCAAGTTACCTGGTACTCAAAAAGGCAGCAGACAATTAAGCATCTCTGAGGAGTGAAAAGTCTTTTCTTAAAAAATGTCCTCAGAAGTGACATGGTAGGGCTGGCCAGATAGCTCAGCGGACTTAAGCACCTGCTTAGGCAGGGCATAGGAGCCAGGGCTTGATCCCTGGCACCACAAGGCATGCTGGCCCCACCACCGGGGCACACTGAGATGGCAACTGAGACTGGGTGTGGTGGCACGCGCCTGTAATCGCAGTGTTTCAGAGGCTGAAAACAGGAGGATCACTAAGTCTGATCTACATAGTGCGACCCTGTAAACTCTGTACTAAATACATGGGAAAAAAAAAGTGACATGGTGCAGTTTTCTTCCAAACTGAAGACCCTCACAAGCATGTGACAAAAGAAATGTGGAGCTAATATAAAGATCATCTGAAACTCTTTATCTTTGAGATCACACTTTATATAAAATAAATACAAAAAAAAAAAGATCCTTTTAAAAACACATTGACAAAAGAACACAGTAGTTTCAAAAATTTCTCTGCAAATTCTCCCTGCAAGAAGTGGAGGTGGATTTCCTTTCCTAAGGTAGGGGCATAATCTAGAGGCTCCCCTCTCACCAGAAGAACACACCAAAAGAGCGAAAGTGATGGGACATCACTTCCAAGATAATAAAAGCACTACGGTGCTGACCTCAGAGGAAGCAGGAGTCATGCCACAAGGGGCACCAGGGTGAGGCCATACTGTGAAAACTTAATCCTCCGCCAATGGGCAGAGAACTGAGGCTACAACAACCACTGTAAGTTTAGAAATGGATTTTCCAGTCCAGCTGAGCATAGAGAAGGCAACTGCCCTGGCCACATTCGACAGCAACCTCAGAGAGACCCAGCTATGCTCTTTGCAAATTGTGACCATTCGAATCGGTGTGAGATACTAAATGTTTGTCTTGTTAAGCTTTTACATTTCAGAATAATTTATTACACAGCAATAGATAACAAATACAAATATGCGCTGGAGGTATATTTTGTAATGACATGTTACATAACAATAAATATCTAGTACAACCACACCTGAGGAAAAATCTGGTATTAAGACATAGTAGGCAAGAAAAAATGTCCTGCACAGTACAGGAACTACCTACTGTCAAAGTCTGTTCATTCATATGAGAAACTTTAGTGTAGACTGAAAAACACAGTACTGATGAAACATAGGTTATTCTTCTACAATATTTATTTATTTGATATAGGTTCTCACCACACACCTCAGACTCACAATGATCTCTTGCCTCAGCCTCCCCAGAGCTGGGATTATAGGCTTGCACCACCACATCTGGTTTTGGGCTGGCATGGCATGCAGTATGGAGGATCAAACCAAAGCCCTTGTGCTTGCCAGGCAGGCGCTTAGACCGCTAAGCAATCTCCCCAGCTCTAGGTTATTATTCTGAACACTCTAAAACTAATGCTAAGTAAGAGTAGCCTATGTGACAAGGATAGGAGGCACATGCCTGTTCTTGGGTGATGGCATAATTCCTCATCCTGATTGAGTTGGTAGCTACGTGGACCTAGACGTGTGCTGTAAATTTTATACACTAGACATTTAAAACAATGACTACCCCTAAACATGGTGACACACCCTTATGTTTAGTTAGTAATATTGTGCCAATGACAATTTCCTGGCTTTGGTCATTGTGCTAGGGTTATAGGAGATATTTTTATCTCTGGAAGCTAGGGATATGGTACAATGGGAACTTCCTGTACTATATTTAAGTTTGCATGAGTCTAAAAGTTCAGAAATACAAACAATTGTAATAAAAATCTGGGAGTAGGGCTGGAAAAGGAGACTAGGTGCTGGTAATGCTCTGTGTTTTGATCTGGATAAGAGTTACATTGGTGGGTTCACTTCTTTATAATACAAACTGCACATTCTTTTGTATGTTGTATGACACCTTGGTTATCATAACTCAATTCATTCCAAATTTGTGCTCAAACACTGAAAAGTTTGAGAACTGGACATATTTTTCTCATAAGAAATAATGGACCAGAAGAACTTTGGCAGACTCAGAGAAGCCTGCAGGACTCAGTAAGCTCTGATCTTCCTTAGCCCCCAGCACACAGGCATGAGGCTTCTGCTGGTACTGGTCTAAACTTTTAAGAAATCAGAAGGACTCTGAGTGGCCTGCAGGATGCAGGGGAGCTGCAATCTTTGAACCCAGTGTGCACAGGCACAGAGATTTCCTGGAACCATTTAAAAACTTTGGCAGACTCTGGATTGCCTGCAGGAATCTGTTTAGCTGATTATTGGGAGCTTCAAAAACGCCAAATGCAGGAGCAAAAGGCAATCTCAATCCTCTAGCCCACCCAGAACAAAGCCAGGAGACAAAGCCATATAAGAATTTGGAAATCACACACCTGAAATCTCTGAAATGAAGCAACTGAAGTAAAGAAACAAGTCCATCAGGCTATAGAAGAAATAAGATTAGAAATAATCTCTAATGTCCAAACAAGAAATGACAACAATCATGAAAGAACTGCTCAGCACAACTAAAGAAGACATAAAAAAAAAAAAAATAGAGGATAGAAAAATGGTGGAAACACTGAATTAACAGTACAGGAAAGAACTAGAATGCATGAAACAGATTTAAACAGATATCAAAAAATTAAGAACTCCATGGAAAGCTGGCAAAACTGCATGAATGAAATTGAAGAGAGACTTTCAGACCTTGAAGACAGTGTTGCAGTTAATGAACATGAAATAAAAGATCTCTTAGAACTAACAAGGAACCAAGAAATAATAATTCAACAGCTACAAGACAATGCAAAGAAAACAACATAAGAATAAAAGGTGTCAATAAAGCAGAAGACAGCACAAATGACATAAAAAGACTATTTGCAGAAGTAACTAGCAGAAAATTTTTCAAACACGAGAAAAGAACCTGACACACTGATAAGTGAGGCATATGGAACACCACACAGGGGGCCGAGGAGTTGGCTCAGTAGAATAAGCACTTCCCTGGCAAGTGCAAGGGCCTTAATTCAATTCCGGGTTCTGAAAAAAAAAAAAAAAAAAAAAAAAAAAAAAAGGACATTACATAGCCATAAGCACAATAAGCCTATACCTAGATACATAATAATCAAGAGCTCAAAAATTCAGCAAAAGAATGGACTATTAAATGCTGCCAGAGAGAAGAAACAGCCCATCAGAATCATGGTAGATTTCTCAACACAAACCATCAAATCAAGAAGATCTTGGAGTGAAGTATTTCAAGGTCCTGAAAGAAAAATAACTTCCAACCCAGACTGATGTACCCTGCAAAACTATCAAATTCACTGGTGAAATGAGGTCCTTTCCTGACAAAGAACAATTGAAGAAATTCATGACCACCAAACTAAACCTACAAAGAGTACTGACAGATATTCTAGAAAGAGACATAAGTGATCACAGCTTCCAGAACAACAGAAAGAAACCACCAAACAGACCAAGTAATTAAAAAGAGGGAAAAAGTACAGAACCTATAATAGGAAATAACATGACAAAGATAAACCAATATGTGTTTGTTATAACCATCAATTATAAACGGCCTCAATTCACCAATATAAAGAAACAGACTAGTAAACAGGATTAAGAAACTAAATCCAACAATATGCTGCATATAAGAAACACACCTAATTCAAAAGAAAATTCACAGACTAAAAGGCAAAGGATGGAAAACAATCCTCTATGCCACAGGAAATCAGAAAAAAGCAGGAGTAGCTATCCTGGTTGCTGACAATATCCACTTCAAACCAAAACTCATCCAAAGAGATAAAGAAAGTCACTATATACTTGTTAAGGGAAAACTGCAAGAGAAAGAGATAACAATTATAAATACATATGCACCCAACGTAGGAGCACCATCCTACATAAGACAAATATTGGCATACATATTTGCATGCCAATAATGAGCAATAAAACAATAGTAATGGGGGACTTTAACATGCCACTGTCACAAAGAGATAGATCAACTAGGCAAAAAATCAGCAAAGACATAACAGAACTAAACCAAACTTGTGAAGAAATTGATTTGGTAAACCTTTACAGAGTGTTTCACCCAGCAACAACAGAATACACATTCTTCTCAGCTGCATTTAGGACATCTCCAAAACAGATCACACAGTAGCACACAGAGCACTCTTAAGTAAATGCAAAGCAACTGAAATTATCCCATGCATACTATCTGATCATAGTGCAGTGCAACTGGAAATTATTGACAAAAGAAACTACAAAAACACCATAAACACATGGAAATTAAATAACCTCCTAAATTACCAGTGGATCACAGATGAGATCAAATAAGAAATTAAAAAATATTTCAATCAAATGAAAATGCAGATATAACTTACTGAAACCTGTGGGATGCAATGAAAACTGTCTTAAGAGAAAAATTTATACCAGTAAATTCGCGCATTAGGAAAAGGAAAGAAGCCCAAATAAATGATCTTATGCTGTACCTCAAGCTTCTAGAAAAAGAAAAGCAAGTTAAGCCCAAAGCCTAAAGAAGGCAAGAAATTATAAAGACTAGAGCAGAAATCAATGCACTGGAGACAAAGAAAACACAAAGAATAAGTGAATCAAAAAGTTCTTTGAAAGAATAAATAAAATTGATAAACCCCTAGCCAACCTAATCAAAAAAGGAAAGAAAAAAACCCCAAACTCAGGCAATAAAGAATGAAAAAGGCAAAATCACTACAGACCCTAGAGAAAATTCAGAGGATCATCAATACCTACCTTAAAATTTTTAGTCTCACAGGATAGAAAACACAGAGGAAATGGACAATTTCCTAAATACATGTGAAATGCCAAAGCTGAGTCAATAAGATACACAACTCTGAATAGCCCAATAATGAGAAACAAAATTGAAAATGTAATAAAAAAAATCAACAAAGAAAAGCCCATGTCCTGATGGATCACAGCAGAATTCTACAAGAAATTTAGAAAAGATTTAATGCCAACTTGTCTCAAAGTCTTCAGATAAATTGAAAGAGAATAAATTCTCTAAAACTCATTCTTGGAAGCAAGTATGACTCTGATTCCAAAACCAGAGAAGATCCAACTAAAAAAGAGAACTACAGGCCAATCTCTCTAATGAATATAGATGCAAAAATCCTTAATAAAATACTAGCAAACAGAAAGCAGAAAATCATCAAGAAGATTATACATCATGACCAGGTAAAATTCATTCCAGGAATGCAGAGATGGTTCAACATATGCAAATCCATAAATGTAATATACCACATCAATAGAACCAAGAACAAAAACCACATGATCTCCTCAATAGATGCAGAAAAAGCTTTTGACAAAGTCCAACACTCATTCATGATAAAAGCTCTACAGAGAGTTGGAATAGATGGTCTATATCTCAACCTGATAAAAGCCATCTATAAGAAACCAAAAGCCAGGGGCCGGGGAGATTGCTCAGTGGAATAAGTGCTTGCCTGGCAAGCGCAGGGGCCTGAGTTCAATCCCTGGTTCTGCAAAAAAAAAAAAAAAAAAAAAAGAAAAGAAATCAACAGCCAACATCACACTAAATTTGCAAAAACTGAAGATGTTTACTTTAAAATCAAGTACAAGACAAGGATGTCCACTGTCTCCACTCGTATTCATTATAGTGCTGGAAACATTAGCCAGAGTAATTAGACAAGAGAGAGAAATAAAAGGAATAAAAATTGGAAAAGAAGAAATGAAATTATCATTATTTGCAGATGACATGATACTATAAATAGAGGACTCCCAAAACTCCAAGAGTCTTGTAGATTTAATCACCTAATTCAGCAATGTAGAAAGATACAAAGTCAACACCCAAAAATCAGTAGCATTTTTGTACACAATGAATGCAGTGAGAGAGAAATTAGGGAAACCACACCTTGCACAATAACATCAAAAAAAAAAAAAAAAGAAATACTTAGGAATTAATCTCACAAAGGACATAAAAGACTTGTACAGTGAAAATTATGGTACTCTGAGAAAAGAGGTTGAAGACAATTTGAAAAAATGGAAAAATATTCTATGCCCCTGAATAGGAAGAACCAACACTGCAAAAATGGCCATACTACCAAAATTGTTATACAGACTTAATGCAACCCAGATTAAAATACCATTAGTACACCTCACAGAACTAGAGAAAATTTTCCTCAAATTCATTTGGAACCAGAAGAGACTCAGAATATCGAAAGAAATCCTGGGAAACAAAGAATAGGGAGGAGGTATCACAATCCCTGGCCTGAAAGTATACTATAAAGCTACTGTAATAAAATCAACATGGTACTGGCATACAGATAGACCTGAGGATCAGTGGAACAGATTAGAAGATGCAGAAACAACTGCAAAGACACTCAACCACCTTATCTTTTATTAAAGGGGCCAACCATGTTCATTGGAAGAAAGATAGCCTCTTTAATAAATGGTGTTGCAGGGGCCAGGGAGATGGCTCAGTGGAATAAGGGCTTCCCTGGCAAGCACAAGGACCGGAGTTCGATCCCCAGTTCGGCCAAAAAAAAAAGAAAGAAAGAAAAAGAAAAAGAAAAAGAAAAAGAGAAAGAAAGAAAGAAAGAAAATGGTGCTGCAAAACCTGGCTTTCTACATGCTGAAGGCTAAAACTAGACCCATGCCTATCACCATGCACAAAGCTACAGTCAAAATGGATCAAAGATTTAAATATTAAAATAGAAACAATAATTTTTAGAGGAAAATGTAGGTAGAAATCTTAAACATAAGGATAGGTAGAGAGTTTATGAACAAAAACCAAACTGCTCAGGAAATACTTCAAAGAATCAACAACTGGAATCTTACCTTTTTGAAGTTTCTGTACTTCATAACAAATCTCCAATAGAGTAAAAAGAAAATCTACTAAGAAAAACGTATAGCTAACTGTGCCTCTGACAAAGGCTTTCTATCTAGAACATATAAAGAATTTTTAAAAATCATAGCCCCCAAATTCAAAGATCCAATCCAAATATAGCCATCTGAGATGAATATGTAATTCTCAAAGGAAGAAATACAAATGGCAAATAAATATATGAAAAAATGTTCAACATCATTGGTCATTTGAGAAACGCAAATTAAAACAACACTGAGATTAAACCTCACCCCAGAAAGAATGGCTAACATCAAGAAGTCAGCCAATATCAAATGCTGGAGAGGCTGTGGAGAAAAAGAAACATTTCTCCACTGTTGGTGGGAGTGTAGACTGGTACAACAACTATGGAAATCAATGTGGAGGTTCTTTAAAAAGCTAGGATTGGAGATCCCATTCAAGCTATTCCCCTCCTGGGTATTTTTTCAGATGAACTGAATACCTCATACCACAGCAATGTATGTGCACTCATGTTTATAGCAGCACAATTTGTCATAGCTAGATCCTGGAAACAACCCATCAGATGCCCATCAACTGAAGGATGGATAAAGATGTGGTTTTTCATACAATGGTGCATTATTTAGCTATAAAACTGGATAAGTTTGAGTCTTTTGTAGGTAAATGGATGCAACTAGAGAACATACTCTTAAGTGAAATAAATCAGACCCACATGTACAAACATCATATTGTCTCCTTAGTGTGAGAATCTGAAAGAGAAAATGGAATCTGCAGGGTACAACAGATACTGGGAAAAGTGAATGAACTTATTCAAAAGGAAAGAGTTACTGAGTTGAGGAGAAGGACAGGAGAGGGAGCGGGGAAAGAGGTTCATCTATGTATGTAAACAGGATGGATTGGACAACTGTGCATTTCTGCTGGTCTATGGAAAGAAGCAGTTACTGCTTTAATTTGTTTTATCTCCTTTTTTCAATTGTTTGTACTTTCTCTTCTTAATTTCTTATACTTTTCTTTTTTTCTTTCTCTTCCAATTTACATATATAAATCTGCTGATATGAATAACTTGGTAGAAAACAACACTATGTATTACAAAAAATACTGTGAAATTCATATTATTTTGTTAAAGTGAAATTCTATATCACTTGTAATTTTTCTGTTTTAATTCTAATTTATACTCGCTGTAAAAATTTTTTTAAAAATTAAAGAAAAAATGAAATAGTGGACTAAATAATTGGTTCTGAGGCCTAAAAACTGCACTTATACATTCATTTTTGTAGGACTTTAGTAAATTTTGCAGTGATTCTTTTTTTTAAACTCTTGTTCTGGTTTGTGTCTGCCCAAACCCTCATGTAGTCATGGGGCAGCTTACAGAGTTTGTGGTTAATTCATGATCCAATGCTGGGATTATGGGTGAGTGCCATACCCAGCCTGGGGCAGATAGCTTGAATGTAATATAAAAAAGGGAATTAGGCTTGCTCTCTCGGCCTCGGCTCCTGCAGCTGCTGCTCCTCCCTTTGCTGTTTGCTGTTTTCTGCCTCTAAGAGCTGCTGCCCACTGCCATGTGCCACTCTGCCTTGGAGCCAGCTGAGAAGGGACCAAAACCTCCACAAACTGAGCGCTAAATAAACCTTTCCTTCCTTAATTTTGGGTGTTGGGAATTTTGTCCCAGCAACGAGAGAAAAGTAACTGAGACCACTCTATTGTTTCTCTGTTTTCCTCTGCACTTTATTGCTGGTATCACTAGCCTTCTTTGGAGCCACAGTTACAACAGTTTATATAAAGTGATGAATGTTGTAACACACCAACACAAGCACTATGTGTTGTCTGGGCAAGAACAGTGCTTAAGATTGAAGTGTTGTCCCTCTGTGTTCACTGTGTCCCTCTGTGTTCATCATTCATTGTCTGTCTGTCTGTCTTTTTTTTTTTTCTCTCTCTCTCTCTCTCTCTGACTCGCTCGCTCTCTCTTCCTACATTCCCTCCTTCCCTCCTCCCCTCTCTTTCTCTCTCTCTTTTCTTCTTTCTCTGTTTTGTTTGAGGGGGGTGGTTTTGTTTAAGTCACGGTCTTACTATGTAATCCAGGCTGATCTGGAACTCCTCTGTAGGCCAGCCTGGCTTCACTTGTGGAAATACTCCTCAGTCTCCCAACTGCAAGGATTGTAGGCATGCACCATCACACCCAGCTTATACCAGCTTTTTCAAGTCAGACTTTCAATTTGACTTTCAGGCAAAATTACGAACATTTTCTTCCTTTCTCTCTCTCTCTCTCTTTTTCTTTTCAAACTTCACTGTTTGAAAATTTGAACTTGGAGCCATTTAACAACCAAGGTATCAATGTATTTCAATATATGCTCATTTTTCCTAAGAAACTATTTCCCAAAAACACACATACCACCTATGAAAGAATAAAAATGAATTTAAAGCTGATCTTGCTTTTATTTGCAAATGACACTGCTATATCAATTTCCTAATATTTTATAAACATGTTCAGTTCAGTTCAGTTATACTGAGGTATTCACCTGTAACCACCATTGCTCAGAAGCTAGTGCTTGTACAAATTAAGTAGCATTGACTTAAAATTATCTGCAATATGAGCAAATTTTCCATTTTGGAGTCCCTAGCAAAATCTGCAAAGACAAAACATAAAAGTATATCTATATCATCTTACCAAGACTGCAGGGGGCTTTTGCGCTGACCTTCAGACATCAGTGTATGAGTGTCAAGTTTACAGTGTCCTCCGATTTCACCACTTTGAAAAAAATCTTCCTTGAATCTAGTGTATAAAAAAAAGGTTGAATTTGAAAATTTTTTTCAGCACTCCAGCTCATGGGTTGTAACTAAATGGGATTGGCAATTTCCAAAATCAATTTTTCTTTGGAATTTAAAGACAGGCATGTTCTGCCTAATGACATTCCAATCACCAACCAACCAGAGAAAGGATTGTGATCCCTTAAGATTATATCACCTAATGGCACTGTAGGTATCTAAGTTTGTGTGAGACCTGGTATGGTGGCACATGCCTGTAATCCCAGCACTCTAGGAGGCTGAGGCAGAAAGATTGTAAGTTTGAGCCCAGCTTGCACAGTTTTGTGACTTAAAAATACTTTTTCTCAAAATAAAAAAAGGTCTGAGGGGGGCCTGCCCCTTAGCTCAGTTGTTTAAGTGGCTGTTTCAACAAAGCAGTCAGCCTCAGGTTGCTGTGGTTCGATCCCCACAACTCAACTCAAGCCAGCCAAACCTGCCCTAAAGGCATTCTGAGCCAACAAAAAAAAAAAAAAGGTCTGAGGACATAGCTCCATGTGAAAGCCTTAGGTTCAGTCCCGCTAGTGGGAAAAGACACTGTGTGAGTACACACTACAGTGTTCACACAATGCTAAGACCCCCTAATGTATTCCTCTGTCAGGCAAGGCTTGACTGTATAGCATCCACCAAAACAATGTACACACACTTCAGGAAAAGAAAAATTGAATGATTTTTTTCAACAGATGGTGTTGCCTTGTATGGGAGCCTCTAAAGGAGGTATTATGTAGCAGAAAACTCACTACACTGCTGGCCCTTGGGAGAAGAAATTCAAAACGCATGTGCAGCAATCTCAATGGCCAAGGTTACCCCAGTGGCATTTGCTGTACTAATAAATGTGTGGAATGTCACTTCAAGTACTTCTTGTAGTTGTAGAGACCAGAAAATTTTAAACATACAAAAGTAGGGTTGGGCTGTAGGTCAGTGGCAGAGTGTTTGCCTCGCATCCAAGAGGTCCTGGGTTCAAACCCCAACCCTGCAAAAAAAAAAAAAAAAAAACTACGAAAAAGTAGCAGAATTCTTTAGTTTACTGTCACCCACTTATGTACCTGTCATGATTTCTCTTGATGTTTCTTAAGTCAAGGTAGAGATGGGTTGCTCTGCAATACTGAAGATAACGGGAACAGACGAGACTGGAGTCACTCTGAAATAAGATTGACAAATGAAAAACCTGTCTCTGAGTCTTGGCATTTTGAGAACTCACCAGATGTGCTCAGCAGGGCCACAGCAAGCGCACCCACATGGTGGGGCAAACTCCACACACTGAAACTGTTCTTGGAGTTTTGCCCTCCCAGGCAGCAGAACTTAGCTAAACATACTTTTGATTTCCACATGTTCTGTTACCACGAAGAACTCCCAAATGCTCTATTTGTATCAAATCTATTTTAAAGCCAAGAGCTGTATACATGGTTCCATGTGGTCCCTTAAAAAAAAAAATAGCACTGGAAACCATAACTTACCCTCAGCTATGTGAAAAGGCATTTTTCACAGGCAAGCCAAAGGAAACAAGGAAGAATGCACATGCTAGACAAATTCACATGCAAGGCTGGAAGGGCAGTTTGCCAATCTGAATAAGAGGCACTGTCTCCAGATTTTCCCATGAACCTTGTGGGAGACTCTCTCTACTATCAGAGCCTCTTTCTACCTCAACCAATCTGCAGTATGCTGACAGAGGGACTGCTTTGAATTTTATTTAGACAAGTAATTGCTATTTTATTATTTTTCCCCAAACTTCCCATTAACATAGGTTCTTCGTCTTGACCAGCATTGTATTTTAGACTTTGTAGCTAGTAAAAGATTAAAATGGACTGAATGTCTGTAGTCCTGGAAAATTCATATATTGAAGTCCCAACTCTTAGCCAGGTGTGGTGGTCCACGCCTGTAATCTGAGCACGTGGGAGGCTGAGGAAAGAGGATAGCCATGAGTTTGAGGCCAGCCTGGGCTACATAGTGAACTCAACACCCTGCCTCTAGAAAAAAAAATGTAAACCAGGAATCCTAACACTTGACGTAACAGATTTAGAAGGTGACTCAAGTACGAGGGGTGCTCTCAGCAATGTGGTTGGTATCTTCTTAAGGGGAACCACAGAGAGCTGTCTTGTGTGGGGATCCAAGAGGCGGCTGGCTGGTTGCAGTCTAGAAGAGGACCCTCACCAGATCCTGCCTATTCTGGCACCTTAAGGTCAGCCCCTACCCTCCATAATTGAGAGAACTTTCTCTTGTTTATGGCCATTGCATCTATGGCATTTTGTTACAGCACCCCAAAAAACTAAGACAGGGATCCTATTTTGGTCACACATCCAAATAAACTGTGGCCAGGAAAGCACTCCACAAGCCACCACAAGCACGGTGTGCAGGGAATGATCGTGGCCCAGTCCACATGAAGAGCTGCACCCCAACCAAAGTATGCAAAGTAACACAGAGCACCTGCTCCAGCTGCCCTGGGGCAGTGCTGGTGAACACTCAGCACTTCACTCTGTCTGCTAGAACTGTTAATAGCTGCATCGTGGGCCAACCCTCCAATATCACCATAACATCTATGTTCAGATTTTGATGCATGTGAATTAATTTCTTCTAACTTCCCAGACTTTCTGGAGGGAACAGAGACCCCCAGGATGGCAGACACATTGTAGTCAGGATCACCAGATTCCAGAATGTTACACCCTAATCATATGTACTTAAAATTCCAGTGAGTAGCATTCAAACCTCTGCCACGAGTCGGGGTCTGCACTGAGCATTTCTTTCCAGAGCCTCACTTCATGCTACTGGTGTGCTACAAAACTGTCACAGCTTTAAGGCTGAGGAACTCAGAACACAGAAAGTCTAAGCATCTTGCCCATGTCAGGATTTCTTTTTCCATAATTTTATTGAGAAACAAATAACAATGAGACAGTTTCAAATCAAATTAGTAGGACAGTTTCAATAATTAACACATTGCATACTGTCTTCCTAGTGGTTATTTGTTGTACAAGATGCAGACAAACACTATTTGAACAAATCCCTCTATTCATTGAATTAAGAGAAAAGGATTTCAAGGATTTTTTTTTTTTTTTGGCAGAACCAGGGTTTGTCAGGGCACTTATTCCACTGAGCCATCTCCCCTGCCCCCCAAGTCAGGATTTTAACACTGTGGTCAAGAGCCTACTCTTGAGCTTACTACCTAAACCTAGTTTGGACCACATGTTTTTCTTACCTAACGGGTTGCAATGTGGCATGGAAGCTAGCACATAGGGAGAATAAAGATGTGGCTTTTATATCTAGACATGTAAATTTTTTAATGTATTTTAGTACAGGGGGTCTACAGGGTGTACAGGGTCTCACTACATAGATTGAACTCATAGTGGTTCTCCTGTTTACAGCCTCCCAAATGCTGGGATTACAGGCACGTGCCACCACGCCAAGAGTCTCAATTGCCATCTCAGCGCGCCCCAGGAGAGCGATCAGCATGGCAGGCCAAGGACTGAACCCCAGATGCTGTGCTCTGCCTAAGCAGGCACTTTAATCTGCTGAGCTATCTGGCTGGCCCTTTAAATGTGTAACTCTACAAGATAGTCATATAGGTCTTTGCTGAATATCTCTGAGAACCTGTTTTCTGTTCTAGAAAGTAGCATCAGTACTCCTTCTCTGCTTATCTGCTACAATACTGTGGTTCGTAAGCTAGACAACACACAGAAAAGCTTAATGCAATCTGAAAGCTCTAAGCAAACATAAACAGTACGAGGGGAAGAACGTCATTTGTCCAAATCAAGCAAGAGACTCGCACAGACACGATTTACCCACTTCCCTTCTTTAGCCTATGCTCCAGTGGAGAGTAAACCTAAAATGATTTGACAGCATCAAAATGTGACTCAAAAACTGTATGTGAGAAGAGGAGGACAGGGCTTCCAAACTAACCAGACCTACCTTGGGCCATTCAATAAAACTGAGAGCCAAACAAGTGAAAGTGAAAGATTCCCTTCACTCTGCCATTTTTCTTTGCTTTTATGTTACAATCTAAACAATAAGATAAGTAATAAGTTAAAGTAGTGAAGTAGGAAGGCTCACTGATGCGGGAGCGGAACACCCACCATCTTCCCCGGCTGGCACAGCACACGCATCTCCTCCAGCCGCTCCCGGGCATACCCGAAGTCCGCTTGTTTCCAGAAGATGTCTTCAGCTGACTCCACAGTGTCTGTCCTATTTGCAAAGGAAAAGGTTCTAAGTTTTGGGTTTTGTTTTTTGTTTTTGTTTGTTTACTTTTTTTTGGACCTTGAACTTTCTTTCTATGGATTAAACTGCTAGACATATTTCACTACTTTGTTTAAAAAATGTACTATCATAGTTTTCCAAGAACTCTCTCATCATACATTAAGTTATCAAACTAAGTTGTTCATAGAGATAAGACAAAAAGACATACAAAAATGTATGAAGTTTGGGTTATCTAGAAGGGAAGGCAATTAACTGTTTTTGTTTCATTTTGCGTTTGTTTGTTTTGTTTTTGTTTTGTTTTGAGGCACAGTTTCACTATATAGTTCAGGCTGGCCTTGAACTTACTATGTAGCCCAGCCTGGCCTTGAACTTGCCCCAGTCTTCCTGCCTTACCTTCCCAACTGCTGGGATTACAGGTATGTATCATTATACCCAACTAACAATGATTATCACCATGTCTTCTTTACCCAGTTGAGACTGTGTAAATTAGAAGTGCTAACTACATTTCTTCTCTATAGAATCTAGAGAAAACTATCCACTTATCTTCTTAGCACACACTAGGGGAAAATAGCGTCCACAGTTCATCCTGCAGCGGAGACAACGACAGGTGTTCCTACCCCAGTGTGAGATTGTTAGGCAAGTGGTTAGACATTAGCCTCTGAGGGATGTGGGGGCTGATCAAAAGTAGGACATGTTGCTAGTTAGGGAAAGCAAGACTTCAATGTATAATATATTTAATCAGTATTTATTAGTTCTCAAACCCAAAGCAATCCCACACAGCATAATGCCATCTTCAGGTTACACAATGTGCACATTCCCTTCTGTTATGGTTTGAGTTTAGCTGTCCTCCAAAGCTTCATGTGGTCATAAATTTTTTTCTGAAGGCAGCTGAATCTAGAGCATGTGATTGATGTATAGCACAATGCTAAGATTAAGGGTGGATAACTGCCGGATCAGTCCACTGATTGCATTGGCACTGCCCTAATCCTGGTAGACTAGATATAATATAAGGGACAGAAAGAGGCTTTGCTCACTCTCTTGCTGCATTTTTTTTATTTTAATTTTAATTTTTGAGACAGGGTCTTACTATACAGTCCAGGCTGGGCTTAAACTCACTGTGTAGGCATGGCTGGCCTTGAACTTGCAGTGACTCTCCTGCTTCAGCCTCCTGAGTCCCAGGAGTACAGACGTGCACCACTATGCTTGGCTTCTCTTGTTGTTTTTGCTGTCTTCTGACACCATGAACTGTTGTCCCTCTGTCATATGCCACCCTACCTTGGAGCCAGCTGACAATGAGCTAAACTTCTACAAATTGTCAGCTAAATAAGCCTTTCTCCCTTTAACTTTGAGTGCCAAGTATTTTGTCTGAGGAGCAAGAAAAATAACTAAGACACCTTCGGATACCTGGCTACCTAGCTATCCAGTTTCAGAACCATACGGCACTCGTAGGTACCAAACCCCATACACAGCCCAATGACACTGGGAAAGCGAATGTTCTTTAAAGACCCTCCTGGCTTGTTCCCAGACCTGGCTTAAACTAAGAACTTCTCTTTCTTCTCTTAAGAACTTTTCTCTCCTAAGTCCACGCATGCTTAACACCCCTAAAGAAACACTGACCATCTAAAGGGAACAGAAAGACATTTGGCAATTTCAAAGTAACTTCCAAGTAAAAATGACAACAATCATAATTATCCTAGTACTCTGAACTCCAGGAACAACTTCTGTGTGCAGAAAGTGACATCCAAACTCCACCCGAGGCAGGTGTCTTCATGCCGCTGCCCACCTTCTCACATTAGGTATAACTTTCCATATCTGCCTTACACTGAATTCTACTGTACTTCTCCATGGCTTTTGAGTCTTTGCTGAGTCCTCTCAGCAAAGGCACAATGAACCGAGGACCAAGGAAATGATTTGTTGGTTCCTTGGTGGGTCAGGACCCAGCTTTGAAGTTTCAAGATAGCCGAAATGAATTTAAGACTGGATAAGCACATTAATCACTACCTAACATCGAGGAAAGGAATTACTATCTAACATCCAAAGAAGCCAGCTTACTGGGTATAATGGTGCACATCTGTAATCCTTGCACTCAGGAAGCTGAGGCAGAGGATTACTGTGAGTTTGAGGTCAGCCTGAGCTACAAAATGAGCTCAAAGCTAGTGCAAACTACATGTGGAGATCCCATCTCCAAAAAAGAAAACAGAAAAAAAAAAAAAAAATCTACCTAGAGCTTAAGGCATCAGCACCTATTGAAGAGAGAATAAAAGATTTCACAGCGAAGAGCATACTCCACAGGGAAACTCACCATCCCATGTCCACATAGCTGCAGAAGGGGTAACCAAACCTGAACTCTGGCTTGCAGGACTTCTCATAACCCCAGCAGGACTCTAAATTTTCTAAGTGTTTCTAGAACATAAAACATACATTTAGAGTGGTGGCCTTTCTTTTGATGCTTAGAAAGCACTCTTAAATTTTCCATTAAGAAGAAAAGCCTTTATAATACATTCACATTTACATTTCATAATACATATTAACATAAAAGTAATCAGAGGTAGGCTGGGGATATAGCTCCGTGGCACAGCACCTGCCTGGCAAGTGCAAGGTCCTGAGTTCAACTCCTGATACAAAAAAAAAAAAAAAAAAAAAGGTGAACAGAGGAAACTCTGACTAGCGGCCTCTGGGTTCCTTATTCATGTCCCCATATTAGTTCCCTAACCAAAAGTTAAGTCTTTAAATTATCAAAGACAGCCTGAATTTATACATATAATATACTTATTTACTTATATAAATATATATGTATAGTTGTTTATATATGTGTGTGTGTGTGTGTGTGTGTTTATTTTTGGTGATACTAGGGAATTACACACTGAACCTGGGGCCTTTGCACTGAGCTACATCTCAGCCTCTGCATTTTCCTTTTGATTTTGAAACCATGACTCACTGACGCTCAAGCTTGGAGAGAAATCGTCATGCGCCTGCCTCAGCCTCCCAGAGTGCTGAGATTACACTTCTGTGCCACCACTCCCAGCTTCAACTAGAATTTCCTAAGGTAGCTAGGGAAATTGCCTTTTTCAGAAAACAAAGTGACTTTAAAATCAGTGCGTAAAAAGACATAGGAATTAAAATTCCTGTTAACGGAAAGAATTGGATGGGCAACTTTACCCATAGATCAGAACCAGCAGGAGCCTACCCAGGCCGACTCCACAGCAGCTGCGCAGGCCCAGCAACAGGGCTGGTCTGAGGCCAGGCTGCTTTTCTTGATGCTTCCTGTGCAAGCTCCATGGGAAAGGAAGTGTCTCACAATGCCCAGCTTTGATCTTCAAGGCCGCAGGAGACATCCTAATGGGCCCTGCTTGCGGCTTTTCCAGGCCTGCTGTCTTAATTATTTAGAGACAGAGGCTGAGGTATTATTAGGGAAATTAAATGTGAAAAGACTTCTTCCAGGCAGGTGAGGAAAGAAGAGGTGTGAAATTCTCTACTTTGAACAAGATGGGTTTTTTTCCTACCTAAAATCATATTTGCTTCACTTTTTCAGAGTATGGAGATAGCATCACCTGCCTACTGATTTTAGTAGTGATTTTGATTTTAAATTTCACTTTGTGAATGCAACATCCACTTTAAACCAAGTACAGTCACTTAAAAGTGTGAGATGAACTGAAACCATGATTGGCTCACACCAAAAACTGAAAGGGCTGAAGCAGGAAGCCAACATAGATTAGATATTCTTAAAAATCATGGATAAGCTGGGAGATAACTCAGCAGCTTAAGTGTTTGCTCCAGCAAGTGCAAAGTCCTGAGTTCAATCCCCAGTACCAAAAACAAAATCATGGAGAAGAGGAGAAAAGATACCTACCTTGAATGGGCAATGTGAGTCCTTCCTGCAGAGGGTGGCAACATGCTTGTTGCTGTGTAAGAAGAAGGGAATGTGCTCCTCTGGCAGGCGGACGCTGGTGTAGTCATACAGGGGCTTTCTTGGTACAGAGTCAGCCTCAGGATAAGCCTCATCTTGGCCACTGAGTGGAACTTCATGAAGAAAGACTCCAAAGACAAGCAGCTTTAACATAGCAACCTCCGAGCCTAGAGATCAAATTGGACACAGCTTCATCAAGAAATTTCCTTTAGGGGCTGGGGAGATGGCTCAGTAGAATAAGCGCTTCCCTGGCAAGCCCAGGCACCTCAGTTCAATCCGTGGTTCTGCTTAAAAAAAAAAAAAAAAAAAAAAAAAAGAGGTTTACCTCCATCTGGAAACATTGCATGCAGGCACAGAGTTCCCTGCCTGCCACTCCCTTTTTGCCTACAAAAGACTGAGGATCTGACTCCTGGCTAAAAGGTGGGCGGACACCAAGTTCTAAGCATGTTAAGTGCCTCAAATATAGCCAGGAAGTACTGGCCAAATTCACTGCCTTTGGGAAGCTTCTGCCCTGGCGACATCAGGTGTTAATAGCTATGACTCAGAAACTCCAGGAGTGAAAGCAAGCAGTCTGCCTCAAAGGCTGTGCCCTTAAAGTCTACTCTGCCTGAAAGCCTAACCAGCATTCACAGCTTGAAAAGTGGTGAGGTGACCATGCTGGATCTTACTGCATTTCTAACTCACACATGGGAGGGTTAAATTTCTTGGGTCAGTTTTCTCTAATATATCCCAGACCATAATTATGTTTTCTGTAAGGGATCTCTGCTTAGGAATTTTTGTTTGTGTTTTGAATTTGCTTTCTACTGAGTGACAGAACCACAAAATACATAATGTTCTGCCCACACAGTTTTTGAAACCAGCGTTCATTGACAACAGGTTTTTAGAAATAGACAGCCATGTTCACCAAACCTCAAGTCTCAAAGTCATGGGACCTAAACCAGGGGACTAAGCAAAACTCCTTTCCCCTCTAGAGTAGTAAATACTGAGGCACTTCATTCAGGTGGCCCTGCAGAGGTTCATAGCTGTTTTAATTTGGTCTTTTTTTTTTTGATAGCTGTTTTAATCTGATCTGCATCAACACTTTTCGTTGGGACTTTTATCCAACAGTAAATTGACATCAACTTTATTAAACTTGATAGTATATACTAACAGTATGGTGGTGCACACCTATAATCACAGCACTCTGGGAGGCTGAGCAAGGAGGATGGAGACTCATGCCCAGCCTGGGCAACTTAATAACTCAGCAAGACCCTCTCTCAAATTAAAATAATAATAATAATAAAATAAAAATGGTTGGGGATGCCATTCAGTGTGAAGACCCTGAGTTTAACTCTCAGTAACACAAAACAAAGAAAATATTTATACACACAAAATATACACACATCTATAATACATACAAGACTCCACTTGTAATGAAAATACTTACCTCTTTAATCTTCAGAACCACCCAAAAGTTCTTGATGTTTCAGGCATCTAAAACCTGTCAGAAAGAAAACATATTACTTTAGAAGCATACTCCAACAGGCTTTTGTCATTCAGGGGTATTTAGATTTAAAGAAAATAATAAGGGTGAAAACAATTTGATGAGCAATCTCCTGACCAGGTGTGGCTCAGGACCTTGCTCAGAGTAACTCGAAAAGACCAGATTCTAAAGGTTCACAGGAGGAGAGGTTCGCAAGACTCGCTACAGCCACCAACAGTGCCAGCCAAGCCCACACTAGGAGAGAAAACATTCTGGGGAGCTAGTGGGGTTCATGTTCCCGCCTCAGTAACGCTGCTCCAACTCTCCCGGACTGTCCTCTCCTGGAAGTCACCCTCCTCATAACGCATAAGCTGTGGCTACGACCACGTCCTGAACTGTGCTCATCCAAATGCAACGCCGTGGAGCGAGCTCTGACCTTCCCTGAACTTCCACAAAAAAGTAACACCTTGCATGGAGAAAATCAAACACTCATACCAGACGCTGGGCTTCTGCGCGGGTACATACCTACTTGTATGAGCTGGTTGGGGTGGTCACTGGCGCTCAAAGTACAACCACAGGGCCTGGCAGACAGCCCTGGGCGTGTTGAGTCCCCTTGCAAGGCCTCGCAGCAGTGGCTGGATGCACAGCACAGCTTCAGCAGATGCAAGATTCAGGGCTAGGCTACGCTTTCTTTATGTGCAAAACAGCCGGACGTATTCCACTCTTGGATCCCTTGGCCGGATTTCCTTCCATAAGCCTAAAAAAATAAAAAGGAAAACTGAAAGATGATGAAACCTGGGTTGACAGGGACCTCAGTGGGTCAGGCAATACTCCGGAAACAATGCTTGGAAAGACAAGGCAAGCACTGACAAATGTAAAGCTATGCACATCCGAGCCTCAAGGAAGCCCACTGGCCTGGCCCTTGCTCGTCTAAGGTGCGAGGCAGGATGAGGCTTGGCTACCGCCATGGCATAGGTGCCCTGCTGTCTACAGCACAGTCTGAGTGGCAGCCCAGCCTGGGTCCACCCCGCACTGCTCTGGGACGCAGAAATCCGTGTGGCCACCCGCCACCCCGGGGCCAGGTGCGCTTGCAGGGACCTCCGGGAGAAGCTCCGCCCCAGCAGGAAACCCGGCTAACGAGGCCCGGGCCCTGAACTTCTGCGGGCCCGGACGGGGCTGCACGCTTGGGTCTGAGGGGGCCAGGCTGGATCTCCCGACGCCCGGGTCCACGGCCTCAGGGCACGGCAGGGCACGGGCGGAGTCTGAGAACGGCAACAGACCTCCGCCAAGCGAAAGCCGCGGGAGCGGACACGGCAAGCCGGAGCCGCCAGGGCGGCGCGGCGGGCGGCGTAGGAGGGGCGCGCGGCTCTCCGCTCCGGATCGAAGGGTGGGGCCCACCTAGCGCCAGCAGCGGAGAGGCGGCGGCTGCCCCGGAGGAGGGCGTCGTCATAACCGGCTCCTGCGGCTCACCGGAAACCTCGGTGCCGCAGTCGGGCCAGGGGGCGCCAGGGAGCAGCCTGGACGCCTCCGCCAGCCCGGCGCGCAAGGGCGGGACCCGGGCCACCTCCTCCGGGCAAGGACAGGGCAAGGGGCGGGGAGCGGCTGAGATCCCACACGCCACACCCCCGGGTCCTGGGCGCCGGCTGCCCTCCAGGCTTGCGCCCTCCAAGATTACAGTGCCATCCTGATTTAGCCCCCCACCCAGTCACAAGGACGAGCGGCTGTAAAGCAGCTCAGCAACCCTCTCCTGCTCGGGGAAAGCGCGAAAACTTGCAGGAAGAGGGGTGAAAGAGCTAGCTCTCTTCTGCCCGCCTCTCGACGCATGAAGGTGGAATGTTTTCTCCTTTGGGACAAAAGTTGTCATCCTAAGTTTCTAATACAGAGCCCGGACGTAGTTAACAAAAGACCCTTCCAGGTGGTGAGCATACTTTGGAGCCTACACAGTTTTTAAGAATAATTTACTTTTATCTTCCAGAAAGCTCACCAAGTGCAAATGCTGCTTTGTGAAGCTTAGTTTTTATGACTTTGTCATTTTCTCATTACTGCTTGTTTCTATTATCATGATTATTTGAAGACATCTCTCCACTAGTTTTGTTTTGCGGTACTCCGGACCTTGGGCTTGCCCGGCAGCGCTTATGCCCTTGAGCTGTCTCCAGCCCCCTCCACTGTTTTCTACTCTTGCACCTGGCAGCTTCAGCATGTAGCCTGAAGCACGAGGCACTCGAGCATTAAATACTGATTCAACCTGCCATCAAAACAAACGTGCTCGGACAGGGCCTATGCCACCATTAAAGTGATCATAAATGAGCTCAAGTTTGTTCGCAAAGGTTTACTGAAATAGTTTTTCTAAATGCTATGTTACAATTGCTACAAGTTCTACCTGAAATGTTAAATTTGGATTACCTGAAACTTTTTTTTAAAGGAATCATATATGGTATTTAACACGTATGAGACTTAAATCAAAAACACTTCAGAGTATTAATCCATTATTCTTCATTTTAAAAAGGAACTTTGCCTTCAAGGCAGACATCACTATTATGCTTTGCCCACCTGTACCAATAAAGACAGTAATACTGCCAGGACCTGATAATACTCCTTTGAAGCTAAAATTTTGGGCTAGCAATAGAAAAGAAAGCTTGATGAAGTCACAGGCATTCTGTAGTTCAGGATTTCAACTGGACGTCTCGATGTAAATTAACAATGTACTTTATCTAGATATGAAATCAAATCTCTCCAACATACTCCAGAACAAAGACCTAGATATAAGCTACCCAACAGCAAGCAGCATCCTTGGCACCCAAATTGTGATCTTTACAATTTTGCACTAAAAAAATACACAGTACATAAAAAAGGGATGACCTCGGGTCTGGATTAGATGAATAAGATGAGCCTGAAACATCTTATTTCAAAAAGTAGGGTGCATCAGCTGTGGAGCACACCTGTAATCCCAGAAAATGTAGGCGGCTGGTGCAGGACTGCTGGGAGCTTCAGGCCAGCCTGGGTCACACTGCAAGAACCTGTCAGGCGAGGAAAAGAAAAACAGAGCCCAGAAGCAATTAAAGGCTATGAGGGTCACATCCAAGCACTTATGGACAGGGTGGGTAGCATATGCTTTAATGCCTGTGCTGGAGCAGGGTCAGGCAGAACAATGGAAAGTTTGACCCCAGCCTGAGCAATTTTGCAAGACCTTTCTTTTTTTTTTTAATTTCTTTTTTTTTATTTTTGCAGAACTGGGGATTGAACTCAGACCCTTGCGCTTGCTAGGGAAGCGCTTATTCCACTGAGCCATCTCCCTGGCCCTTAAGACCTTTCTTTAAAAAGTGCTGAGGGTGTAGCTCATTGTGGAGGCCCCAGGTTCAATCCCAAGTAGGAAAAGAAAAAATCAGGAACCCACACACCCAAAGATAGGCTTTTTTTTGCTACTGTTTCTGTTTTGTGAAACAGGATCTTGCTACAAACACGGGATAATTTAAAGCATCAATAAAGGCAACTGTAACGACTGAAGCAAAAATTCATTTTTTAAATTAAAAACACAAGAACCTTACAAGACTCAGTTTTAATGATAGAAAGTAACCAACTTTTTATTTTGAAAACTGGTTAAGAAAAAGAATCACACATATCTATCCCACCTTCCTTACAGGAATTATAATGAAAGTAATCAAGTAGTTGAGGTAGTTTCTTCTTAAAAAAATTCTAATGTTGGCCAGCCTGATAGCTCAGCGAACTAAAGCGCCTATTTAGGCAGTGCACAGCGACCAGGGTTCCATCACCAGCGTCCTTGTGGGCCCCACCCCTAGGGCACCCTGAGACAGGGATTGAGACTTGGCAGGGTGGCGCAGGCCTGCAATCCCAGCACTTGGGAGGCTGAAAACAGGAGAATCACTACGAGTCTGATTTTCATAGTGAGACCCTGTAGATCCTGTCCTAAATAAAGAAAAACAAAATTTTTCCACTGTAAAATTAAAAAAAGGCAACAAAGTAGATTACCACACTACAAACTATAAACAGGTTTTAGAGCACAGCATCAGTGACAACTAAAAAGACAGGCTATGTGACATCACTAGTCTCCTGCTAGAATACACCTTCACTTCATGAAGTAGTTTTTTGTTTTGTTTTGCAGAACCAGGGATTGAACTCAAGCCCTTGCACTTGCCAGGGAAGCACTTACTCTACTGAGCCATCTCCCCGGCCCCAATGTATGTGGAAGTATCTGAATGTATTTATTTATTTACTATTTTTTTGGCAGAACTGGGGATTGAACTCAGGCCCTTGCGCTTACCAGGGAAGCACTTATCCCACTGAGCCATCTTCGTGGCCTTTTTTTTTTTTTTTTTTTGTCGGAACCAGGGATTGAACTCAGGCCCTTGTGCACTTGAGAGGGAAACACTTATTCTACTGAGCCATCTCTCTG